GCTGAATGTATTTAGAGGTTTTGACACCCTCCTCTCTCCAAAATCCAAGAGAAGAAAAACACATGGTCTGGGGCTACAGAAGCCTAAACCTCCCTCCATCCTTCCATGGAAACTCCTATATAATGCTGCCTAGAATTTCTTCACATACACTTTAGAAAAGATAACTACGTGCCATGTCATTAGCCAAAGGAGAAGCTATGGTCCCAACTGAAAATGAAATACAGTGTGTCATCATGTAACTTCTAACACCACTAAAATGATAACAAGGGCCAAGTCTCTTGAACTTTCCCAAGCAGGCTCAAGAAGTCTGGGTGGACTTTTTCCTCCTGCAAGAGCAAGATACCAGGTCATCCATCTGTAAACTTCATCACTTGAGCTCAGTCTGGTACATCAGTATCTTCCTAATAGTTCTCTAGACAATAAATTTTATTCTAGCTCCCACTTGTCCAGAACGAATGCATGAGTCAGGAACAAGTCCCCTGTGGTGTGAGGAAGCTTGCTGACAGGAGAGGTCATGCAGTATCTAAGAGACAGTCTGCAAATGCTTTCTTCAGATGGCCAGGAATTCTGTGAGGTTATTTTTCCCTTGAGAACACTAAATCTTTAAAGGCAAAAACAAGACAAAAAGAAGAAAAGATGTGAGCAAATCACTCTTCTTGGTTTCTGGCACAACCAAGTGGAATATGACAGCCTTGATTCTGCTTTATGGCTTCCAAAACCAAAATAGTTTAACAAAAAAGCAAGACTTCCCAGCCACATTGCTGCCTGTTTGTCGACTGTTAACCTCAAGAAGGCATCAAGCACTCTGCAGAAACCTGAATAAATGGCTTCTAAAATACACACAGAGAAAATTTTTACACAAACTTTTTGAAACATTTATATTAAAAAAACTTTGCAACTTCAAAATAAGGAACAAATTATTTGCCTGCCCTAAGACCAAGTAGATTGTTATACCAAAGCTTCTCCAAACCTTTACAGCAAGGTATTAGCACAGCTGAGATAAAACTTGGATCTCGGATCTCAATTTATTGTTTTAAGCTACGTTGTTTTACTTGGACACATCACACGATGTATTTTGTTAACAGTATCAAAGTACACATTAGCTGAAGACTTACACAGGAGACCAGAAAAAGCCAGGTATGAGAATGATGACAAAATCCCATGAATGGGGGAAATACAAGAAATGCTGAGCGCTGACCTTGTTCCACCCCTACTGTGAACCTATGTTTTTAAAACTGTGTTTACATTCTGTGTTTCAATCACTTGAAAGAAAGAAGAAAATGCAAAACCGAATAATAAAGAGCAGAGAAAATCATGTGGTGGGATATTTCCGTACCAAGTTACGGTGAGGGCATATGTGACCCTTCCGTAAGCAGTGCTCTACGCGGAAACAACTCAAAGCATCTTCCAGAAAAAGTATCCTCTCAGAGTCGACACCCATGTTTACTGCACAAGGCCATACTATCCTCCTTTCAAGTAATTGTACATGGCATAGTGTCAGTGAGATAAAGCAAAAGCCATGTCAATGCCTATTCTTGCTAGCATCTCCCAACATTTCACAGTATTTTTGCCATGCAATTTATTTTTAGGGCAGAGCTCCAATTCTTGGAATTGCAAGATATGAAATACATCAGTTCTATATGTAGATAGTGAAAAAAGCACAAATGTCCACAAAATTAAAGCTATTTCCATTGCCATCAGGATGAACACTCGGCTTAGTAAAAGATTGTACAGCTGTTAAACCAAAAAGAAGACCATTTCTGCGGTCTGGTAGGGGAAGAAAATGTGTGGACGTTCAGCACCACTTCAGGCTAGTTACTAACAAACATTAAGATAGAAAAAGGTCGAGTTCTCTGGCAGGTACTTAGTGCAGAGAAGTTTAAGACAGCCAGCTTTGTGGAACAGAGACAGGGAAGTGAGAGGGATAAAAGGGAAATATTTCTGGAACAACCCTACTGCAGAACAAAATTGAAGACCTGCTTTTATAACTACAGCCCTCTTGAGTTTTTCCCCAGAGATAATGCAAACAAGCCTAAGCTACCTCGGTAAAATAGATTCATTACCTTTTCATGAAAGTTATACAAGATAGAGCCAGAAAACACAAACTCCAAAGTTGTTTAAGCTTATTTACTTGGCTCTCTTGGTTGAGCCAGTTGTTTTTTGAACAAATTATTCTACTATGCAATGTCATATACTCATCTCTTTAGTTATGGGACATAAGATTTCAGTTGTCCTTCTTTATCAACTACTGTGTTGTGGAACGAAATGAGCCGCCACTTACAATAATTTTTCAGCTTTACATTTGTGCAGATACTACAATATGTCATTACAAGGACAGTAATGCAAAGGCTTTTTAATGCCTAGTTTCTCACGCTCATTGGGTACATTTGTCTCAAATCTATTCTTTTTTATTTTATTCTGACATAATTGATTGCTTTTGCTTGATCTTTGTTGAATTTAAAAGAGAATATGTACTTACTGACAGTAAGTTGAAGTATAATTTGTTATTTTCTATCTCTTTTCATGTTTCTCAGTTCATACTATAGGGCTGTGCTCCTTTTTTTAGTAGGATAAGGCAGTACAAAGCTTTATTTCTACAGCTTTATCTACTGGCAACCCCTCCTCCTTACCAGGGCTGGCAGCTCAGTATGATAATAGGGAAAACAGAAATCATCACCCCAGTATGTTGTGTGATATCTTCAGATCAACACCAGTCATTTTGGGAAAAATCCTTCAGAAATGCACTTTATGCATAACATGCTCAGGCTAATGGTACTGCTACATCCTATTTCCCAAATTTTAGGTCATATCCTATTTGGGATGTCCCTAACAGCCTGAAAATCATATGCTTCCTGTATGCCACCACCTGTACGCAGCAACCTGAACAAGAATAACCTGACTATTACAATTTTACTATTACAAAATATTTTTTTCACAAGTTTTGAAATAACATTTTTAAAACCTTAATAATCTGTGAATGTTTACTCCATGCCATTCAACCTGGATCTTGATATATCTAATACCAATTAGGTCTTTTGGGCAGGCTTATATGGTCTCTGTGTTCCCAATATACCTTTTGGCTCTCCAGCACATCTCTTTCCAGCTCTGGCAGCTGGAAGAGCAAAACAGAGGAAAACATCCAAAACTGCACTTTAATGATAGTGCGATGAAAGGAGTTCTCCATCACTTGCTGCCTTTCTCAACAGGCAGTCCCATGTACTCATAAGGGACAGCAACTGGACAGAGCCAGTTTGAGAATCTCAACTTTCTAGCAGAAAAAAAGGTGTTTGCATCTCCAAAAATTAACATGCAAAACAAAGAGTTTCTCTCCGCATCGGTGAGCAAACAATGGATAAACACAGAGCCAGTTTCACAGGCAGAAAGGGGACTGCTCCCATTCTTGTAACTATCTACCTTTATTTGCAGCTTATGCCATAAACAAAGCACATTTGTGAGTGAAGGAGAAAAGGGAAGTCAGGGAATTCATTTTCACCACTGTTATTTGCTCTACTGAAGTATCAGCAAACAAACACCACAGACAGCTAAAGAATAAAGTCTTGCTGGCAGCACGTCCTGGCCTTCACCCATAGTGCACAGGTATCAGAACTCCTGGAGAGTTTTTCCTCTTGGATGCAGATGTAAAAAGATTTCCTAATGAGTATCATTCAGTGGCAGAAAGAAAAACAGTATTTAAGGTTGCATTACATCACTGTAATTCTCTTACTATTTTTTTTTCTTTTTTTAAGTGGATATGCCACAACGTCAGAAAATTTGATACAACTTAAGATTGTTGGTGTCTAATAACTACCATTTCCCCTCCCCAAAGTTAGGGCTACTTTAGCCTTTTCTACTGACTGATGTAACCTTGGAAGCCAGAAAACAGGAAGGAAAGATCCAATACTTCTTACTCAACAGAAATTTCTTACATCAAGTGGGTCTCAGCTCTACTTATAATTGGGCCTTATCTCTAGAAGGGCTTTACTCTTGTAAAAACGCAAATAAGTACATGAAAATCCACAAATTATTTCTTCCTTAGCACAACTTAATACATACTGTCCTGTAAAATAACCAAATAGATTTCTGCCTTTGAGGCTGAAGTCCATTAAATAAAAGCAGCTTTCCACAGCGTTAACATAGCTGTGGTCAGGAAACAAGAACAGAAAGTCCTGTGCACTGAACAGAATCAGTGTTGGAACAAAGGGCCTAGACAGCAAATAAGTTTTAAAATAGTAATTTGCTGCACTGCATGTATATTTGATTTTATACATTAAAAGTGAGCTTTGAAAAGTAGCAGCTCTTTGTTCCTGGGGCACCCTCAACAGCTTAACATGCTGCTTACTTGCTCAAGGAACTGTTGCAAATAATTCACCTGGGTAAAGTTTTCAAGCCAGAAGATCTTGTTTTTTCTTAAAAGGGCTATTTAGAGTGATGGGACCTCCCCCGCAGGTTTGGGATGCAACACAAACAGCACTGCACACCTCAAAAGATGCAAGTGATGAGACCGCTGCTTAGTACGGTGAACTTACACAAACACCATCGGCAGGACCAGGGTGCAGATTAGTTCTGCAAAGTGGTGAGAATCGGCACGATTGGGGGTTGGTGACCCCGTGCCAAAGACCACAACAGGCAGACTGCTTCATGCGTGTGGACCACAGAAACAGGCTCTGAGGGAGAAGCCAGTTTATTGTGAGTCCTCAGTACCAATCACGTGCTGCACTCGGACAATACCTCTTTGTAAGGCTCTTTTGTAACCCCAGAGCACTTGTGGACTTCCTGGAGGGCCCGATGGCCTGCAGAGGAGGCTTAGTGACAGGTGTGATGAGCAGGGCATCCAAGAGCGAGCGGTAGATGCTAGGTTCAGAGAGTCTAGCAAGCGTTTAAAAAGGTCATGTAAACAAACTGGTTGACCAAATAAAGTTAAAGTTGGCTGGGACCACTAGGAAACCCCAAAACCCTCACGAAAAACCTCTAAGTTCTGTAGTAGTATGGAGAAACTGAATGTAGAATAAATTATTTAGAAATTATGTCTTAATAAGTGGTCTCCAAAGTGGAGGTCACACTGCAGGGGATATACAAAACAACCCACTGGGATGTGAGAATAAATTTACTTTATTTTATTTTAAACATTAGTAAAGTAAAATAGAGAATATTTTTTAAATAGCATTTATATCATCTTTTTCTCATCTTTTTTTTAATTTCTAGTTTTGTCTATGTTTTATAATGTACATTAGGACATCTATGTAATTTAGAAATATATAAATAAAAGTCTATCGGAGATGCACAAAATTTTTTTACTGAAGTGGGTGCATAACTGATAAAACTTGAAACCACTAGTCTAAGTAAGCCCTTATAAAAAGCAATGCAATAAAAATTCAGATGCAACTCAGAGACTTGTCTTCAAGCAACCAAAAGTTACTAAAAGATGCAGATTATTCTTTGCCACTCCCATAACATATTGATTTTTAATAGTTAGTTTGCTGACTGAACTGTAAAATGGATATCATGTGGATCAGAAAGGTACAACTACTCACCAAGGTTCAGAGCAGCAGTCTGGAGCTAAGCTAAAATTAGGGCATGGGAGCCTTGGACATATTCTAATGACTCGCCCATCACACTATTGTGAAAGAGCTGATTTTGCAACCCTGCCAGGAACCGATTATTCATGTACGAGCTTGAACTTTCTTAAACCAAGCTATAAAATGTTTCCTTTCAAGCTGATGTCTACCTGGCCCGGATAGCAATGGCAGCAGACACGGCAGCAGCAGCCATGCTCTTAATTTTTGATCTCCGTTTGAAAGGAGAAAGAAGAGGAGCAGGTCCAAACTTGGGCGGACTTCCCAGAGGATTTTCCAGCAGTACTCCTCCAGCACAGAAGCTTTGAGCCAACAGAAGGGAAAACAGAGAAAGCAGGAAAGATTGACAGAGACACAGCACAATACCAGACTGCATTAACCACTGGAAAGCTCACAGAATCACAGAACGTTAGGGATTGGAAGGGACCTCAAAAGATCATCTAGTCCAATCCCCCAAGTTATGTGATTGTAGGTTCCTAGTTCACAAGAAGCTCAGGCAATCTATTAGCTGCTTGAATACTAACGTAGAAAATAGCAATTTTGAATTCACCCACAAATAAAACTTTCCTCTCATCAAATCAGGATTCAGCATCTATCAGCCCTCAAATTCCTCATCCCAGACCCTGCCTCGCACCCCTGGGTCATTCCCACTGAGCTCCAGGACACCTCACATAGATCCATCTTAAGCTTTCAGGGTGCTGACAGAAAGAGCCCTGAAGATCATTTAGCTTCTCTTTTTTATAATAAATAATAAACATTGAAAGCTTGGAGTATCTGGTGATATAACTTCAGTAGGTCTATTTTTAGCTACCTTTACAAGATTTGGTGTGCTCCTCACCCCTTTTCATTTTCCCTACTTATTAACTGGGTTGGGAGGAATGCAAACAGGCAAAAAAAAAAAAGGTGAAAAAACCAGTGATCCAAAATTGTTTCTACAATGGTGAATCCATAACTCAGGCTTCATTTTAGTATTTATCCACACAATTGTTGTGTCTTTTTAAAAGTTATTTCCGAAGTGAACAAAGCACTCCAAACATTTACATGACTATACTTTACACCACTTCTCAGATTTGAATACAAAAACACTGCCTAAAAACCTTGCTTACATGTTGCAGACTGCTATAGATATACCTTAAAAGATTTACCTTGTATGAACTACAGATGATTTAGACTGACAGCTTGAGATTTTACTGAAAGAATTTGTTTCGCAAGTAAGCAGAGATGCATCACACCTGCCCAAAAGCAGCAAGAGAAGAAAAATAATTAATCAAACGTTTATTACAATTCTGGCAATGCTAACTAAAGCTCAGGAGAAGTTCATTTAAGGATTTTTAAAAGCCCTTCTTAACCATAAAAGAAAGAACAGGTATGGTTTACTATTCCTGATTGTTAATTACTGACAGAAGCAATTTCTTTCCCAATTGGTAAACACTGTACCCTGGATGTCCCATCACTACAAAAGTTAATGCTTGAATTCTCCTCCATAAACTTCAAGTTACCAGACAATTAAAAATTTACACATTTTATAGCAAGGGTGACTAACCTTTGAAAGCCAGGTGAATAAAATGTGTAATATCAAAGAATCATACATCGTGCATGCTGTACTGTGCATTCCCTCAAAAACCTTTTTCCACACTATGACACTATATATTCACCCCACATCACCAACTGTTGACAACAAAGGCACCTTCTAACCAAGTCTCCTACCCGTGACTGGTTTCTCAGCCTCCATCTAAGGGCCACTTGAATTTTTGAATTATTTTTCTAACTTTTGTCTGAAAGCTACTCCAATTCCCAATTTTATGCAAATTCCCAGAGCAGTGTAAGAGTCAAGAGACACCTGTGAGCTGCTCCAGCTTGACAGCATTATAATCCAAAAAAAGTCAGATAAAACTAAGTAAAACTATAGTTTCTGACAGTGGCTTTTTAAGGTAGCTGTCTTGGATGTACCTGGCAGGGGTAGGAGGCAGCACAAGGGCCGTTTCCACAGGCAAGGTCGCAGAAGGGGGCTGCATGGCCGCAGGGGTGGGCAAGGGGGGCTCAGAGGTCTGCATGGCCACAGCACGCGTTGCAGGGGGAGGAGGCACTTCATCAGCTTCCAAAAAGCTTGCTGCATCCTGAGCAGGCAACTCCGTGGTTATCTCCCTGGTCGATGTTAATTTCACAAGTAGTTATAACAAGACAACATATGCAGAAGAAATTTCTCGTTTGATTAAAAATACCAGACAGAACCAGACAACTCTTTTTAGATGGTGTTCTTGCATCTTTTGTAAAAACAAGTGAGTAGTGCCTGAGGGCATTTTTCCCTTCCACAGGAACCAAATACTCATTCCCTAGCAATCAGACCATGCTGAAACTGGTTCTCTGGGGCATTTTTACAGCTGAAGATTGAGAACTTAGAACGAGGCTTGTTTAACCATGAAAACATACTATTTGGGAAGTGTAAAGTAATTGTTCTAAAAAAAACCAACATGCTTGAAGGAAACTCTACCTAGTGTAAGTAGATGACACTTCAGACACCGTGGCTACTTGGGTGCTGGTATTTAAAACCTTCACAACTTCAGGGACATGAGGTGTGCACTTGAGTATGGCTTCCAAAGGGTTCTCAAACAAACGTTCTCTGAAGAAAGCAGAAGGACAAGTAACATTCATCCCAGGAATGCAATATTTTCCCCCCATATTTTACTACTTCTTGCTTGTCAACGAACCAAGACAACCATAAAAGATCTGACAACTTTAGTTCAGTCAGTCTGAGACCTCCTCTGCTCCCCAATCTGATTCTCGTTTGCCAATTAAATGAGCAACTCCTGTCTGCAAATTTCCTTTTGCATGATGACTACAACCAAGGGAAGTTCTTCAGGAAAACTGATGGAGAAACACCAAACCTGCCAAAAAGGAGATCTGGCTGAGTTGAGGACACTACAGCAGCAGTCACAACAGTTCACAACCAAACAGGGGTATGCAAAGATCGTACCCTTTCCGGGAATTGCCTTCAAGTTCTCCGAAACTTAGTACAGCACCTTTGTGAAGCTGTGTAACTCATAAAAAAGGCCTTGAAGAAGGCAAGGAAGAGGGGAATAAATCACACTGAGTATACGCCTCAAAGGGAGAGCAAGCAAAGAGCAAGCTGACTCCAAATCTTATTCATACATACTTACTGTATTTCAATTTTTCACTTGTTTTGGCAGTAACTAGAAAAGGAATAAGAAATTAATCTCAAAGATTTCAATTTCTACAGATAATACTCTTGGCTGTCTACTAATCATAAAGTACATAACAAAAATCAGGATTAATACCGAATATTAAGTACTAACTCTTTGTATTTATTACTATCTGGGAATAATTTATGGCTAGGAATAATTCCATTAAAAAAGTAAGTCTGTGTGACTGTAAAAAGCATGTCTATAAAAGAGCAATCTAAAGACTTGCTGGCATTGGATCTGCTTTATATTAGTTATAGATTTCTGAGGAAGTGCCAGACTCTGTGGTTTACGTGGTCTAAAGTTGCCAGGATGACTATTTAGGATGACTTTTTGCAACATTCTGAAAAGGCTGTAAGTGCTTTTAAATATTGTACTGTTAAACTTATAGGAGGATATTGCATATATGAAATTGAATAATAATACACTATAAATTATAGCAGTTGGCTATATTACCCTATAGCAATATAGACTAGTTTAGGCTTTTAATAAAGAACGAAAACTATAATAAAAGACTTTATATTATGAAGTCAGCCTTATAAGCAGCGAACCTAACTTTAATCCAGTAATCAAATCCAGATCCTTCATACATTTTACAGAAAGCTCTTTCTCCTTCTTGGTGGTTCAGTAGTGGGTGGTACAAATCACAGAGCTTCAGCCAAGAAAAGACACGGCCCATTAGGAAAAGAAAGACCCATGCTAGTCATCGACAACAGATGCGGGGCTTTAGTGGCAAGAGCAAGTCTACTAACCTTTGGATGGCCCAGTTCTGCTTTACTAAGTGTCTGACATGGCATGCACCAATTGCTCCATACTGATTTCCGATAGCTGCCACTTTATAAAAAGGGGATTTCGGAGATCAGTTTTGGGTGTATTTCCCACCCAAAAGTGTGCTATAAAAGCAGCAACATTGGCTCAGTAACAAAACATAAACACCAAGTATAGTTGCTATACTGATGACCTCTCATTTCAGGCGAGAATCAAGATTTCATAGCATCGTCAAATGAGTTATGTTCTCCTACCCACACTCAATAATAATCCTTCTTTCTACAGCTCTGCAGAAGCTGCTCAGATTTCTACCCTTCCTGAGGTGAAAATACTCATAGTCTACTGTTTTGACTATTTGTAGTCAAAATACTTTGGCTCTTATCCTGAACCACCATGAATGTAACTGTCCTTTCCCATTTCTTGGGACTTATTTTAAAGTTGCTCTCCTGCTAGGTTCATTTTGCCAAATAATAAATTTAGAGCTATAGGTCTTGAGCGAGAGTAGATTCAAATTTCCCCTCCCTAGACACAGATCCAGAGGCAGGATTTAGAAAGAACCCCTTGGTACTCAGAACACAGCAGCTGTAGCAGCATCTGCAAGGTGCCTGCAACTCAGTAGGTGTAATCATACTAGAGTTTCATTGGTAGGCATGAAAATCAATTATTGAAGTAGTACTTCTCCCTCTGTACAGCACAGTGTTATGAACAAAATAATCTACTTTAAAAAATACATATTTTTTAAGGCACTTTTCTGTGTGTTGAAGAAATCTGAATTCACGTTTGAGTTGTTGAAAAGTGAGTCCATCCAGGCGATAGGGTGAACACTCACTGACAACATACTGACACACTAAATACTGTGTCATATTTTAACTGGTATCCACAAGACTGTTCATAAATCTGCTCAGCTTTATTTCACTTCTTGTCTCTTTCCTCCTCCTACAATTCCCAGGAAAGTCTCTAGTCACAGCAGATAAATAAAGTCTATTTTAAGTGAACGACAGACAACCCTCTCTTCCCCAAGACAAACATACCAAGGACAGAATGACACATAGACAGATCCTGAACTGAATCAGAAGCCCCTCTGAATGATTTACCTCCCAGGAGCTGCTGTGGCAACGTGTCCAGGAAGTCTGGGCGAGGGCACACTGCCAGGGGAGGACTCTGCTGTCAGCAAAAGAGCGGCTGCAGGTTGTGGTCTAGCATCGTTTTCACTCCATTCACAGTAATCAAACCAAAGGGAGGCACACAGAGAAAGATTTTTAATCCACATTGAAATAGGATGCTGAGCAGGAGATACGGCACAGGAAAGTGTTAGTAAAGTGGAAAAAAAACCAACAACCCAAACATGGAGTTTACAGCAAAATACAAATAAGGGGATAAAATGAGGCACAATACACTTAGGAAGTGTCACACTTTTAGTGAAGGCTCAGAAGTGTCCTGCTGCTCATAAACCGAAAGCCAAGTAGTATTTTACAAAGATGGAACACGTGTATTTAGTATTACATGATGTGATGGAAAACTTCCAGGAAATACTTGAAAAGAAAGAGACAAGTGCTAGTGGGATTAATTCCTGAGGCTTTGTACACTTTTTGTTGCAACTTTTTAGTGTTAGTTTTGTGGAGGTTAGACTATATATTTCTCAATATTTTTTCATATCTTTTTCAGTTGTGATAGGAAAAAAAAAATAATCTACCAAATACTGAATTAAAGCCCTCTACTTGAAGAAAAAGCACTGGTCAGACATCTCACTGTAATACACAAAAATAAAAGTAGAGTACAAGGTAGAGAGCAATTGCAATAAATTTTGAGTAGATTAAATTAGCCACAGGAGTGAGTGTTCCTAATTTTTTATTTACAGGCATCTATCTATCTATCTATCTATCTATCTATCTATATGTACTTGCATGTGGAATTAAGTATCTGAATAAAGTAGGGAGCCTAAAGTGCTAAAAATTATTGAACGGATTTAGGAATGACACGGGAGCAGACCTTGTAGGTGGCAAAGGTGTGGATGGAAATTCTGGTATAGGTGGCATCTCCAAAATCTGGGTAGCTATGGAATTTTTATTCAGATTAATACAGGTCTCCTGGGCTCTTGCTCCATTAGGTATATCTGCAGGTATGCTTTACAGATATTTAATGACATGAGAGGGGAAAAATAAATACATGATTTATGACAGGTTGTTTCAGGACTGACCAAGAGCGGGACAAATATTTTCCTGGATTAGCTAAACTACAAATCTGGAAAATCCAGACATATCTTCACACAGGACAATGAACTGACTGTACTATTTAAGGACAAAGCACATCAATAAACTTTACATGAAGGCTAGACTTTGCCTTTCTAAGCTTTAAGTAACTGGTTTAAGAGTTGCAATTTACATATTTCAGTTAGGGCTTTCTATTTCTATTTCCTGTCCTTCCAGCTGCTGAGAAGAAAAAAATCTCTTTTAGCCACACAAAAATCTCTAGTGGGTTACAGTTTAAGGATAAACAATAATTAAAAATCCACAGGGCATTTGTCTTGGAGAATGCCCAAAAAGTTTAATATTATTAAATTGGGATATTTATCTGTAGACTACTGACAGAAGAGAAGTTTCTATTCCATTGTTTGTCATATTCATCCTTCTAGGTCATCTCTTAAATGCAAGTTTATTCATATATATCAAAAACCACTCAGTATTTTTTCCAAGATCAGATGTACGCTGGGAATTGGACACAAGCTAGGGTATATTATCCATATGCAAATGGAAAAGCAGTCCATTGTTTTGGAAACAGTAACAAAGTCCAAAATTTAACACCAACAAGTGGTGTGCAATGGGGATACTGGGCAAAGATATGACATCTTTAAAGCAGTAAATGAAATTCATTTCACACATTCATAAAACATTTTTGAAACTAGAGATCTGTTACTATGAATTTAAAACTATCCTCATATTTTCAATAGATAGACTCTAAGACTATATGTTTCATTTTAATTGAAACAGATGTTTCTGTACTATTTAGAGAGGCTTTTTCTTCCATTTCACAGAATCACAGAACGTTAGGGA